TGTTACCGCGGAAACACAATCCTGGCCTCTGATTATCAACCGATTGCCAGATGAGTTTGAGATTGATATAGTACCCACTTATCATAGTGACCATTTTTTTGTCTCTGTGGCCCTTCTGTGGAAAATATTACTTCAATAAAGATGTAAGTATTGCAAGACTCTCTTGATCATGAACAAGATGTATTCCACCCCTTCTGATTTCCAGAAATGCAGGTACATGCAGAATATGTCAATTACTCTCAGAATAACACTTTAACTTATCCATTGACTCGTTGCAGTGTGCGGGGGTATTGGTCACCCATCTAGGCAACAGTTCTAGTTTAAAGTTTGAGACTTTTGTCTCCAATATATCATCAACTCATTGTAAGTTAAAAAGGTCAAAGTTCATCTCTATTAAATTTTTTAAACAGTTCATGATATACTTGCTCTGGAAAGGTCAATGCAAGGTTACACCATGGTTTTGTTTACCTGTGTTGACAAGTCATTTTAATTGAACATCACAAGTTTTAGAAGAGTGATTGCCCTTTGTTCCCCTAGGTTTACTGATTTCGTGCTAGACTTTGTTATAATGACAATATATTTATCATGGAATGGAGGTATATTATTCATCCGGCTGTAGCTTTGTTTCCATCTTGCAGTGAATCAATTTCTATTTTCAGTCTGCAGTGTGGAGGCTGTCATTAAAAGGGCTGTCACCCGAGCCGCTGAGGGTTGGACATAATGCCAGAGTTATGTCCCCTGCATAAAGCTGAAAGTCCCAATTTCCATAATGAACATGATAGAGAAAGCTATAACCTGACATTCCCATGCTTGGTGTTTATATATATGTAGAACCAAGTAAGTAATAACGACAGTCCAATCTTGGTACTGAATCCTAACATACAAATGTTCGTTTGATGCGTATTACTGGAATAGATATATGATCAATGAAGTAATAACGACAGTACGGACAGGTGAATTGCCAAATATCGAGACAATCTGCCTTTTTATCAAGACACAAATAACACATCAATTCCATCTCATACATAGAACATAAAAATTACATAGTTAAAAACTAAAATTGAGAACGGTAGTGTAGATTTAATTCAAATTAGGTGTCTCGATAATAACTTTGTCTGATGGACACCGCAAATGATCACACAAACAAGGCCAAGTACTGTCATGAGACTGAGTTCTGCCATGAGGCTGGAGGTCTTTTATGAGTTTGAGGTCTGTCATGAGTCTGAGGTCTTTTATGAGTTTGAGGGCTGTCATGAGTCTGAGGTATGTCATTAGTCTGAGCTCTTTCACGAGACTGAGGTCTTTCATGAGCCTGAGATCTGTCTTGAGTCTGTGGTCTTTCATGAGTCTGAGGTATGTCATGAGTCTGAGGTCTGTCATGAGTCTGAGGTATGTCATGAGTCTGAGGTATGTCATGAGACTGAGGTCTGTCATGAGTCTGAGATCTGTCATGAGTCTGAGGTCTTTGATGAGTTTGAGGTCTGTCATGAGTCTAAGGTCTTTAATGAGTTTGAGGTCTGTCATGAGTCTGAGGTATGTCATGAGACTGATCTCTGTCATGAGTCTGAGGTCTTTAATGAGTTTGAGGTCTGTCATGAGTCTGAGGTATGTCATGAGACTGAGTTCTGTCATGAGTCTGAGGTCTTTCATGAATCTGAGGTCTGTCATGAGTCTGATGTCTGTCATGAGTCTGAGGTCTTTCATGAGTCTGAGGTCTGTCATGAGTCTGAGGTATGTCATGAGACAGGTCTTTCATGAGTCTGAGGTCTGTCATGAGTCTGAGGTCTGTCATGAGCCTGAGGTCTGTCATGAGTGTGAGGTCTGTCATGAGTGTGAGGTCTTTCATGAGTCTGAGGTCTGTCATGAGTGTGAGGTCTTTCATGAGTCTGAGGTCTGTCATGAGTCTGAGGTCTATCATAAGTGAAGACTGTCAATAGGCTGATCCAAAATGCCTGATGGCCAAAATTTTGTTTCACAAACAGTTCTAAAATTGATCATAAGTAACCAGGAATTGTTTGTGCTCATGCCATTTGAGACTGGTGGTTACCTCACTTTACACTGAGACTTGTCCCATGCCAAGGACAGCACAAAAAGGTTTCTCATTTCAAAATATCAACTTTTCACAAAATTATTGGTTATACAATACTGTAATCTCTGGGCTTATCGAGTCACATCAGGTCTGGTTACATAATATTGTAGACCCTAGGCTTATTACGAGGTAAATAAATCACATCAAGTCTGGTTATATAATAGTGTAGACCCTGGGCTTATTATAAGATAAACCTTTGATAAAAAGAGATACAACAATGAAGACGGATAATCCCTCCATTTTATTAACAAGATACATGCATGAATCTTGTGTTATGAAAATAATTTCTGATTGTACAAGAAATCCAGAAAATCACCACAATGAATATAATGACCTGGAATTTTAAAGTGAACATATAATATTGCTTCTTGAACACTGAACGGTTAAGGTCTTTTAATCCAAAGTCTCACAGTGTTGTTACAGTTCAGAAACCATGAAGTCAAGTTTGTCACAGTTCTGTCACAAAAATGTCACATTTCTGTCATAATGAAATCAAGTTGTGACAGTTCTGTCACAGTGAAGTTGCAGTTGTGACAGTTCTGTCACAGTGAAGTTGCAGTTGTGACAGTTCTGTCACAGTGAAGTCACAGTTGTGACAGTTCTGTCACAATGAAGTCACAGTTCTGTCACAAAAAAGTAAGTTCTGTCACAAAAAAGTCACAGTTCTGTCACAATGATGTTACAGTTCTGTCAAAATAAAGTCACAGTTCTGTCACAATGATGTTACAGTTGTCACAATGATGTCACAGTTCTGTCACAATTATGTCAGTTCTGTCATAATGAAGTCACAGTTCTGTCACAATGAAGTCACAGTTCTGTCACGATGTTGTTAGTTCTGTCACAATAAAGTAACAGTTTTATCACAATGATGTTACAGTTGTCACAGTTCTGTCAAAATGAAGTCACAAAGTAGCATCATCGTCAGGCTGTTGAGATAAAACTATACAATTATGCAAAAACATTTCACAGTTGTGTATTTTACAGAAACTGATGTCCGAACTCCTGATGATATTGTACACACTTCACCTTTATAAAGAAGACAATGATTTTTGTCTTCATTATCCATGAAAACTGGTAGAAAATCTCTGCCACAATGATTTGTATCTAATTCATATCAGGATGGTTCTATGTAGAACACAAATGGTTTTCAATTTCAAATTATAGCTAGAAATAAGGCAGATATATTGTTGGAACTACTTGTATATATACCCAAACAATCTTCAGCAAAGGGATGTTAATTATTTCTGTAGTTTCAAAATAAATTCTTCAATTTTCTCAACAATAAAGGGAAGTAATCCAGGGTTAAAATTGAAGTTAAAACTTCAAAAGGAACTAAAACAATAGGTGATGTATAATTATATTTTACAATCATGTTTAAAAACCCATTTTAAAACAAGAGATCCCAGTGGGATCTTGGCGCCCACCATTTGAGGATCTGTTTTCAGTTCTTGAAGATTTTTTTATTTTTTTTTGTTTGTTACTGGTGTTGTAAATGTTCATGAACTGGTCTTCATTGAATGTACTCAATGATGGCACAAGATATTTTTATTAAGCACCTATCATTTGAAAAAGATCCCAAAGTATTATTAGATAGCAGTCAGTTACAGGTGGATAATGGACAATATGCTTGTGCTGTATTACTGTCAACATCCAAGATGGCTGCCTGTGGGCCACCTTGATTTCAAATCAGTCCAAAAAAGGTACAATGCACAACTAGGGACCAAGGGAAACCAATATCTATGAGATATCAGAAGGATCCATCCAGTACTTCCTCAGATATAGCAGTAACAAGATTTTACTCTCAAAATCCAAAATGGCCACCTGTCGGCCATCTTGAATTCGAATCAGTCCAAAAAAGGTACAATGCATAAGTAGGGACCAAGGGGAAACTGCATATGAAATTTGAGAAAGATCCATCCAATACTTTCCAAGAAATAGCAGTAACAAACTTTTACTTCCAAAATCCAAGAGGGCCACCTGTCGGCCATCTTGAATTCGAATCAGTCCGAAAAAGGTACAATGCACAACTAGGGACCAAGGGGAACCTGCATATGAAATTGCTAGTACTTTAAGAAATAGCGGTAACAAACTTTTACATCCAAAATCCAAGATGGCCACCTGTCGGAAGTCCAAAAAAGGTACAATGCATAACTAGATACAAGGGGAAACTGCATATGAAATTTGAGAAAGATCCATCCAGTAATTTCTCAGAAATAGCGGTAACAAGAATTGTTTACGGACGGATGGACGGACGGACCACGGACCACGGACCACGGACGCAGGGCGATTTGAATACCCCACCATCTGATGATGGTGGGCTAAAAAGTGTAAATCATTTTCTTAAAGAAATAGTTGCTAACTGTATTACATACAAAGATGTATCAGATTTGCAATGAAATTGAATATATTGTAAAAATGTACATTTTCTAATCTACAAATCTGGTTAAATAGTAAGTCCTATTTCAATATTTACATTCTATCCTTCAAACAGTGAAAACAACATATTTTCATTTAACATCAATTTTCCATCATGGCTGTAGTTTTGCTACATTTCTTTCATTTAGAAACATCTTTCAAGGATTTTGTATACGAAATAATGTCAAGCATGAACCTGCTTGATTAACCTGGGTAAACCAAAATAAGTAACAAGATAACATGGTTATATTTGGAATGAATTGGTGTCAACCTCTAACATTCCATGAAGAATATCTTTCTATTTCATCACACACATAATCTGATCTGAAATTAAAGTTTAAAATTTAAGTTTATTAAAGCATAACTTAAAAGAAATTAAATTATAAAGAGAAATAGTTTCACAGTGAAAATATCACACAAAATGAATTGAACAAAATGTTATATTTCAAAACATAATAATGGCTTTTTGTTGCAAACTTTTGATAAAAAATATATATCATGAAAAAATATTTTATTTTAACGGACTTGTTATGTAATGCATGTTTTTTAGATACAGTAAAAATCACAAATTTATAGCTTTTTCTTCTGTAAAATATGAACCACAGTGGTCCAATATCTAGTCACTGAACATCACTGCAGTCTACTAAAAAACAGTAAGAAGGTCATGAAATAATTATAAAACATCCCTTTTACTTATAAAAATAGTTAGAAATGTTCACATTGAGAAATTCAATCATAACATACAGTTGTAAAGATTTAAAGTAAATTTGCTGATATAAAATAAACACATCTCACAAATTTTAAAGGATTTTTTGGTTGAAATAGGAAACATGACAATACTTCTTTGAATGCACTTTGTGAACATGGAGTTTTTATCACTATTGTATGGGTAATTGGTTGTACCTAGAGTAATCAGCCTTTGACAGTGACTTTTCAAACTTTGACCTTTGACCTTTTTAAATCTGTTGTATATTGTTGAGATCTTAATTTACTTCAATAACTTTTCACCATAACAAAGTTACTCCTTGTATAAAATTTGAAGGACACTGACAATAATTTTAACAACTTTTTTTTGACATTTTGATGTTCATTAATTACTTCCCTTTGTGTCAACAACAAGACAACCAAGGGAGATAACTAATAGGTGTGTTTGGGAACAAACAGAGATTCGCTGGCTGCTGCACTCCCATCTTCACCATTGTACTTCCCCACAGCTGCCAGTCCATTCAGCTAGAATGATAAAAATACTCTCGTTAATGGAGCACTGATTTAACAATGAAACACTCACTTAACAGACATTTTATCATATTATAGATACTAACACAGGGAAATATGTTGTAAATTTATCCAACATGTGACCGTACTTTGAGTCCTAATTTGTAACAACTATTGACCTTTAACCTTGACCAATAGCCACTTATCTCTTATGATATGTAGATGTTGGTGGTATGATGTTAAGGTGTGAATATGATCCAAATCTGTTCACAAGTTCAGGAGATCTCTTGCACACCAGTTTTGTCATGCTTGCATACACTCATGCTTGGGCACACAGACTCCAGAGGTCTCTAAGCAGTGACAACTTAAGAAACTTACTTTTGTACAGCTGACAAGTGACAAGTTAAGTAACTTTTGTACAGCTGACAAGTGACAACTTAACTAACTTTTGTACAGCTGACAGGTGACAAGTTAAGTGACTTTAGTACAGCTGAGAAGTGACAACATTGGTAACTTTTGAACAGACAACTTAACTAACTTTTGTACAGCTGAGAAGTGACAACTAACGTTTGTAAAAATGAGAAGTGTAACTTTTGTACAGCTGAGAAGTGACACCTTAACTAACTTTTGTACAGCTGAGAAGTGACAACTTAAGTGACTTTTGTACAACTGAGAAGTGACAACTTAACTAACTTTTGTACAACTGAGAAGTGACAACTTAACTAACTTTTGTACAACTGAGAAGTGTGACTTTTGTACAACTGAGAAGTGACAACTTAAGTAACTTTTGTACAACTGAGAAGTGACAACTTAAGTAACTTTTGTACAGCTGAGAAGTGACAACTTAAGTAACTTTTGTACAGCTGAGAAGTGACAACTTAAGTAACTTTTGTACAGCTGAGAAGTGACAACTTAACTAACTTTTGTACAACTGAGAAGTGACAACTTAACTAACTTTTGTACAACTGAGAAGTGACAACTTTGGTAACTTTTGTACAGCTGAGAAGTGACAACTTTGGTAACTTTTGTACAACTGAGAAGTGACAACTTAACTAACTTTTGTACAGCTGAGAAGTGACAACTTAACTAACTTTTGTAACATTGGTAACTTTTGAACAGCTGAGAAGTGACAACTTAACTAACTTTTGTACAGCTGAGAAGTGACAACTTAACTAACGTTTGTAAAAATGAGAAGTGACAACTTAACTAACTTTTGTACAGCTGAGAAGTGACAACTTAACTAACTTTTGTACAGCTGAGAAGTGACAACTTAAGTGACTTTTGTACAACTGAGAAGTGACAACTTAAGTAACTTTTGTACAGCTGAGAAGTGACAACTTAACTAACGTTTGTAAAAATGAGAAGTGACAACTTAACTAACTTTTGTACAGCTGAGAAGTGACAACTTAACTAACTTTTGTACAGCTGAGAAGTGACAACTTAAGTGACTTTTGTACAACTGAGAAGTGACAACTTAACTAACTTTTGTACAACTGAGAAGTGACAAATTAAGTAACTTTTGTACAGCTGAGAAGTGACAACTTAAGTAACTTTTGTACAGCTGAGAAGTGACAACTTAAGTAACTTTTGTACACATTAGAAACTTACTTTTGCCCTATTGAGAAGCGTTGCTTAAGCATTGGCCAAGTTGCTATCTTGTCCCTGCCAAGCCTTTAGGACACTGGCTTGGAGAGCTCGACCGAAGGAGAAGCTAAGTGCCCAAGGCTTGCGTCCTGGGTATCTGTTGATGGCATTTAGATTTTCTGTGGCACATACTTCTGACTGTCCACCAGATAAGAAGGTGATACCTGAGGTCAAACACAACACCAGTTAAATATTAAATATCTCTTGTTTCTCTGCTTTGACACATTCTGAAATTAGAAACTAATTTAAAGATATCTATGAATTTATTACAATTACACATGTAATCCACAGATGGAAATCTCTCCTAACTGTTCAATGTGAAGCTGATATATTTCTCTTTAATAAACCATAGAGAACCATTATGTCACAACAAGGGACATTATCCAGATATCACATGTGGAAATTATCATACCATATCATACAAGAACGTCCCATCAAAGGGAGATAATATGTCCAAAGAAAGGGAGATCTTAAGTATGTCCCAATAAGGGCGGAATATACCCAAAGAAGGAGAGATTATAAGCATGTCTGAAATGAAAAACAACCAAACAAGAGGAAGCAAATGAGTTTACCTGGAACAGCAGCAGGCACAGTACGACTGAGTGCTTGGACAGTTGCACGAGCATTATCATCAGCCGTGTACTTCCTTGGACATGACTGACCAGCGGTCACCATGTTTGGTTTTAAAAGAGTACCTTCCAGGTAAACATGGTGGTCAGCTAAGGCCTTGTATGTGAAAGCAAGAACCTGAAAAAGATAAAAAGTTTAAATATGTATCCATTAATAGTCTGGTGTTACCTGTATCCATTAATAGTCTGGTGTTACCTGTATCCATTAATAGTCTGGTGTTACCTGTATCCATTAATAGTCTGGTGTTACCTGTATCAATGAATATGATAGTCTGGTGTTACCTGTATCAATGAATATGATAGTCTGGTGTTACCTGTATCAATGAATATGATAGTCTGGTGTTACCTGTATCAATGAATATGATAGTCTAGTGTTACCTGTATCCATGAATAGTCTGGTGTTACCTGTATCAATGAAAAGTCTGGTGTTACCTGTATCAATGAATAGTCTGGTGTTACCTGTATCAATGAATAGTCTGGTGTTACCTGTATCAATGAATAGTCTGGTGTTACCTGTATCAATGAATATGATAGTCTGGTGTTACCTGTATCAATGAATAGTCTGGTGTTACCTGTATCAATGAAATGTCTGGTGTTACCTGTATCCATGAATAGTATGGTGTTACCTGTATCAATGAATATGATAGTCTGGTGTTACCTGTATCAATGAATATGATAGTCTGGTGTTACCTGTATCAATGAATAGTCTGGTGTTACTGGTGTTTGTATCAATGAATATGATAGTCTGGTGTTACCTGTATCAATGAATATGATAGTCTGGTGTTACCTGTATCAATGAATAGTCTGGTGTTACCTGTATCAATGAATAGTCTGGTGTTACCTGTATCAATGA